CTTGGCCGGCTCCAGCCTTCTGCCCCGGGAATGCGCCCCGCCACTGCGGCTGGACGTGCCCCCAGACGGGCAGTGCCCGATGCCCCCTGGCCGGCCGGTCCCCGCTCCCCGGCTGGGGGTGGGGGGCAGCCGGAGGTTGCCCTTATCCTCCCACCGTGCGCCCCCCGCCCTGCTCACTCGAGTCCCCTCGGGAGGCCCCTCCAGGTACTCCGGGAGACACCTGTACCTGGGCCGCCCTGAGGGCTACCGGGGACGCACCCTGAAGAGGGTGGACGCGGAGAAGGCCCAGTTGCCCCCGAAGCTCCCCCTCGTCGCGCCCTCCTCCCAGCTGGCCGTCCCTAACGGCAGCCATTTTAACTTCTAAGGGAAGCTGCTCCGCTTCCGCCGTGAGCACGGACATGTCTCCAAGGATAGGTCACCTCCCTCTCTCCTTGTCCCTCACCTCCAGCCTTCCTGGACTCTGAGAGTCTCCCGGGGTCCCTGCCCACCTCGGGTTTATTTATTGTCCCCTCAAGAGAGCAGTGGGAGACGAGACGCTTGCCCCCTCAGTGAGCCAGCTTTTTTGGGGGGGCTGGCACACTCCCACTCCCCACTCCCTCAGCCAAGCTGCCTTAACTCGCCCCTCTGGGCTTCCTCCCTAGCTGGGCCCCCGGCGGGCCGCAGGCGGACAGACGGATGGGGCTGGGGCCACTCGCGTTGTGTACAGAGTCCTCGGACCTCCTGGGACGTGCCTCCTACTGTGTAGGAGCCTTCGCTTCCCAATACAGCTGTGTCCTCGAGCCGCTGCCTGATTTTACTCGCGGCGGGAGGGGAAGGGGAAGGGGAAGGGAATCGGTTGGCTCCCTCAGAGCGCCATTGCCCCTGAATCTTTGCCTTCATCTTGGCCTTGAGCTCTCCCGAGTAATTGCGATGGCCGCAGTCCCACCGGGGTTAATCAGGAAAGGTTTCCTGAAGAAGACTAGAACTGAAAGGGTGTGGAGATAAATCAGGGCCCAGGAGACCCAAGGTAAAGTTTAGGTGGGGTTGGGGTGGGCAACTAGGAGCCCGTTTTTGGATTGAAGGGGGACTTTTTCCGTCGTCTGTTCGGGGGTGAGGGAGGTTATCGTTGGAGAAAGAAAAGGAGGCCGCAGCGTGATTTAAGTTTTCACACCAAGAAATCTTGGCCTAAAGAGAATTTGGAGGGTCTAGGTTGCAAAAAACTGCAAAGGACCCAGCCCTGCCGGAGTCCCGGGTCCGCCCCAGCTGTTCCCTAAGAAGCTGCTCGGGGTCGCAGAGCCCGAGGGCTGTTGAAGCGCAGTTCATCGTGCGCATGCGCGGCCTCTCGGCGCCTGAGGCCGCGCTCGATCCAGCGCACGGAGGATCAGCTCCAGTGCGACTGTCACGACGTTCCTCCGGCTGGGGCTGGCTGCAGATGTCTGTCAGTTACCCCCGGGGACCTATGGGAGCGACGAACGGGACCGTTTGCTCCGCCCACTACCTCGCGCTATGGACACTTAAGACCTCCAGCCAGCTGTGGCTGCTTCTGCTGATTTACAAATCGGGTTTTCCTGTCCGCGCGTGGCCGGGATATCAGCCTAGTTGGAGCCCTAGGCCGCCCCCCCGCTGGCGCCGCCTGGAGGCCGGACCAAGCCCTGCAGCTAAGGACGCCTCGCCAGTCCTCCCTGTTGGCTGCCTTTAGGCCTTTACGCCTTCTGAGGGAAACAGCTAAGAACAATTTGAGGAACCTGGGATTGTTTCTAGCTCTTTACTACTTTGTGATCTGAGAAGTCAAAGCTCTGCCCTAAGTTTGGGTTTCCTCATCTGAGAAATGGGGTTGTCTGAGAGGCTCAAGTATGACGATGTCTGCAAAAATTCTAAAAGGAGAAAGCATGGTAGCTTGTGAGGTGGTGGTTCCTCCAAACTCAGGCGTAGGTTATTCCTCACTTTGTAATCTTCTACTGAGTAACCCATTTCCATTTGAGGCCTTATAATCTTCATTTATAGGTTTTACCCTCAAGGTTTTGAAATGCCCTTTGGACATTCCTCAGACCTCAGCTGCTTGGGCCACATTCAATTGTCCTCTAGCGTCTTCGCTGCTTGGAGCTCGTTTCACCGGGTTGGAGAGGTCCTTTAGGTCTCAGTTTCTCCCTCATTAGATGCCTTTCTTAAACCAAGATACTTTGAAACAACTGCTCGTTTCCTAGATGGTGGAGGACAGCAAGGAAGGGGTGGAGAATCTATCCAATCACCTGACTGCATTATCCTCTCCAAACCAAAGTGTTAAAGCCAGGACAAAGAAAAAAATTAAGGCTACAGCCTTTCACAGCCCTCTGAGGGACAAGTTTCACAAATACTTTAGTTCTTTCCCTGAAGATGGACACAGGGAAAGGGGTAAATGACCCTCAGTTTAAATATAGACCTAAAAGAGAAGTACAATAGAAATCTAACCTTGTGACTGCAGGCAGCAACTTATGGGTTAAAGTCCTGGTTTCAGTTTAATGGTGAAGGGTGTTCACTTATTATTTATAAAGTATGGTGGTTTCTCTGAGAGTGCCTAAGGTGGATTCTCAGAACCTTCTCAAAGCTAGTGAAAGCAACTTTGTTGCATTAAGAGCAACAGTCCTTGGACTCTGCCACTTAATAATTTTGTGTGTGACCTTGGCAATTCAACTGCTGTATCTAAGTCTCAATTTCTTTTGTAGAGTATGGAAAGAACATATGGCAATGGGTTTATAAAGCACCATATAAATACATAGGTTTAAATTAAGTGCTTTGTGGGAAATGGATATTTGCCCCAAATAGACTATCAAGTATGCAATTCATTAATACTCATGATATACCTCATCCAGTCAGAGAGCAGTGAATAATAAAGGGGATGAATTCAAATAAATTATTATCATTGACATCAGAGGGATAAACATGACCCCAATTAAAGAACTGGCTGATAGTCTTTTTAAAAAATTAGGATATTAGCTCAAACTCTGTCTTTAGAAAAACCAGAATGTACCAAAAGGGGGATACAATTGCCATCCAGAGGGATCTCTAAGCTGATTTCTTAGAGGTATCCTGGGAGGTTATGGAGAAACCAGGGCCCCAGTAGGCGGAGTCCATCAGCTTGTGTAAGGCTTTGGGGACCTGAAACACAGAAGTTTCCACAGTCACAAAGCTTGAAAAGCTGTTAAGCATCTTGGGTTCTTTGGGAGCTAAGTCACAGGGGTCTGAGCTATTATTGTCTCTCAGATTTATGTCTCCTTGATGCCACTACCCCACACTTGGGAACCACACAGGTATGAGTCACTCTCTGCTACTTAATTCAGCAGCCGACCCTTTAGTACTGTTGACTCATAAGAATGTAAGGTTACGTGTATGAGAGAAAGGTTCAGGTACACGGATAAAATACGAAGACTATGAATCCAAAAGATCACCTCCTTTTATCAAGTATATTAGGGTCCCAACAGGAAATAGATGACATTCTCTTAATAATGAAGGGCTATTTTAATTTTATTTTTTTTATTGGAGAGAGAGAGAAAGAGAAAGGGAAAACACTGATGAGAGCAAGAAACACCGATTGGCTGCCTCCCTTACTGGCTCCAACTGGGGACGAACCCACAATCTGGGTATGTGCCCTGACAGGGAATTGAACCCACCACCTTCTGGTGTATAGGAAGGTACTCCAACCAACTGAGCCACACCGGCCAGGACATGAAGGGCTATTTCTAAAAAGTGTGGGCAAGGGATAGGTCGGTAACTGGAGGTGAGTAACAGCCTCAGGCCTGAAAGGACAAAGGGAGGTAGTGGTTACTAGGACCTGGAAGGAGAGATTGCCTTGGGAAGAGCAGCGACCTCTAATCAAAGGATACAGCTAGGCCCAGGTGACCCCAGGGGAGGAGTGTCTTTTCTCTCTGTCCAGTCTTTTTCTGGAGCTCTCTATTGGCTGAATCCAACATGAAGTCAAAGTACAGGGAGCCCATCAATGAAATTCCTGCAGGTTAGTCTCCCAGGGTAGAGAATAAAATGTAGGAGAGAGGAAAGTAATCTGGAAGGAACGAGAAGATATCCAGCATGCCTAGAGATGAAGACCCCACCCATTCCCCAAAGAGAGGTTATCTTTGATTGTCCTTGCTCAAGTACTGCTGGCCAGCAACTTTATGGAGATGCCTCCTGAATTAGTTTTGGAACAAAATTTACTTTGTGGAGTTTGCAGGAAAGGCTGCTTGGAGAATTTAAGTCTCCCCAGGTTCTTAAATGCAATTGGAGATGAATTAAACTGCCCAAAGCCACGTAAGACGATACTCTGATTAAAGGACAAACTATAGAGGAAAAAACACGAATAACTCTATGTAGAAACAGTATATGTATCTATATACTGAAGATAATACATAACTTGCAAGATAGGTATATCTGTGGGTATGCAAAGTGCCCCATCGCCAGACATGTAGCAAAAGCTTAAAGCACGGAAGCTGTTATTTCTATTGGCCTCTCTTTTTAAAAAAATATATCTTTATTGATTTCAGAGAGAGGAAAGGAGAGGGAGAGAGAGGGATAGAAACATCAATGATGAGAGAGTCATTGGTCTGCTGCCTCCTGCACTCCCCCGACTGGGGATCGGGCCCGCAACCCGGGCATGTGCCCTGACCGGGAATCGAACCCCGATCGCCTGGATCCTAGGTTGATGCTCAACCGCTGAGCAATGCCCAGCTGGGCTATTGGCCTCTCTTTCAAACATCAATTTCCTTTACAATAAGACTCTTGCCCTGGCCGGTGTGGCTAAGCGGTTAGAGCCTCGGCCTGTACACCGAAGGGTCTTGGGTTCGATTCCCGGCCCCAGTCTGGGTGCATGAGGGAGGCAACCATTCAGTGTGTCTCTCTGACATTGATGTTTCTCTCTCTCCCTCCCTCTCCCTCCCTTCCTTTCACTCTCTCTGGAAATCAGTGGGAAAAATATCCTCAGGTGAGGATTAACAAAGACTTTCTTAAACTTTAGGACTGGTTACTGGAACAGAGTGCAGCCCCACACTTTGCTCAGGGGTCCCCTATAGTCTTAACTTACTCTATAAAACATCTTGCACAAAACGTACATAGGTGTAATCACCACTAGGCTGCTCTCACTTCACCTTCTCTTGTTTTCTACCTATTGATCTTCTTGGACTAGAAGGCTCACTTTCACAGAGAGAAAAGTCTTGGGGATGTTGCCCTAGTTCATGTTCCCCCCGTCATTTAAAATATTACCCTTCAGAGAACTCAAGGTTCCTATCCAATTCCCTTTTAACTCTCCCATATTCCTGATGACTTCTCTCAGTAGGATTTTAATTCAACCAGACTCTTAATTTTTTTGTTTTTCAGGGCTCCTCAAGTCCCTGCTCTTTTTCTCTCAGCAAAGATTGTATATACATCTATGGGGTATCTGCCAGACCAGACATACCTTATAAATAAAATGTACACTATATTTGTTGCCTGTATGTTACTTACCAAAAGCAATTATCTATATACAGCCTAATCCATGGTAGGTGTTTGGTTCCCTGAATATTGACTTTGAGATCTTGCCTGGAGATTCTAATTGTTGAACACAGATGCTTATATATCCTTGACTTTGGTATTACCTTCCTGTATTCAAGAAAGGCAACCTTATTGCCAGTGGAGCAGCTTTTGTGAACACTACTGCACACTGGACAGGGACACCCATTTTGCCAGCCAGATGGGTCTTTTCAGACCTGGCTATCAATGGGGTTTGTGCCACCACCAGACTGCTACTTGTATTCACTTAATAAATGCATGCTGAATTGGACTGAGATAGCAACAA